CTCACTTTTTCTTTCATTTGGCCCAGTTGTTCTTTAGAATAAGACGGTATTAACATGATTTTATCCCGTTTTTATCTCTCCTTAGAAGAGGATGACCATCTACACAACTGGGTTTATTTAGACCGAAGATTTTCGGTGGCAAGTCAGGTTGAAGTTAACCCGGTGGTGAGGTTAAAATTTTTTTTAAAAATATGAAAAGTTAATACAACGACAAGTGCCAGACGACAGTCTGATCAGGAGTTCAGATACATTTGTTTAATTTAAAATATAAGAATTAACCATCATGTATAGCATCTTGTGGAATTGGAATCTCGGTTGAAGTACAATCTAAACCAAAGAAAGTTGTCTATGTAGGAATCTCCCCAAATACATAAATATAACAAGCATTCTGAGAGTATTGCATTAGCAACACTAGTCTCCTACCGGCAAGTGTAATCTGGTTCCCGTTAAGAATTGAAATGCCATAATTCCGTCAAAAATCAATGTAGCGGGACGTGTATGCAAACTTGGTCTATAACTAATCAAGGTTAAGTCGTTTACCAAAAATCAGCTCAATATCTGAAAGCTTTTAGAAGAAAATTGCGGAAAACCCTTAAAAATTGTAAAGGCCGTAATTCCGTCAAAAATCAATGAAGCGGAACGAAATGCAAAACTTGATCTGTAACTCATCAAGATACACTCACATACCAAAATCAGCTCAATATCTGCAAGCGTTTAGGAACAAAGTGCGGAAAACCAAGTGGGACAGACTGACAGACAGACTCAGAGGAAACCTATAGTCCCCTCCGGTTTCACCGGTAGGGGACTAATAATAAAACACAGTTCTCTTGCTTTAGCATCATCAAATAGGTGAAGGACAAAGTATGGTAACGGCTGAATCTGGCCCCTTATTTGATGTAAAAATCAGAACACAGTTAAAATTGTGTTAGTTTGTAGTTAAGAACTTAAAATGATGCTTGTTTTAAACCAGCACTAATTTTGATTCAAAGCTTACACGGAGGCCACAAGAGTGTGCAGAAGTAGGAGATTTTCCCGAATTTCCCCAATTCTGGTGGAATTTCATCAAATTTGAAATACTTTTCACTTCGGGAAACCTAGAGCACATGCTTGTCTATCTGATATTTTTAAACACAAGATGCGTCTGATACTAGAGTATGAAATATATAAATTTGGTAGATAGGCAAGCTTGTGCTCTCGTTTTCTGAAACAAAATTGCTGTAAAAACGATGAAAATTTGCATAAAAATGATATAATTCGGAAATTGACATCTTATCTTACCGTCCTGTGACCTCTGTGTATTCCATTACGTAGAACCAATACTCATTCTGTGGCAGGGGTGAAAACAGGGTTTTTTTTTTTGTTTTTTTTTTGTTTTGTTTTTTTTTATAAACTGTTGCATCATTCTAAAAGACACCCCAAACCATGGGCCAAAAAGGGTTCTTAGAATATCTTGTCCTTTACATACAAAATATATGCCTTAAATTAGATACTTTGAATGATTCTCTACATTTATTATATATCCATCCCTCTCCCGTTAAGTAGTGAATTATATACAGTATAGTTAATAACCTATCTTCGATTAGATTTTGTAAGATCAACATCACCCGATGGCATATGGAGAAAAAAACACAAACACGTCTACTGTTTAAGGAAATTCCACCCTCCTGTGATGTCATAGGTTTTAGCAAAACAGTTATTAATTTAAATCCATACCCTATAGAAAAATATCTTTCGAAAGAATGTTTTCAATGGAATGTAATGAAAAATATTGTAAAGTAAAAGAGTTAAAAAATAGAATATTTTCCTTATTTAATAAATTATTCCAACCTTTATAAATGTTGCAAAGGGCAGTAACTCTTGCTGATGTATCTTCATTCAGGCATTTTCTATATTGTACTTCTAATGTAAAATGGTTTCCCTGATATTCACAATTAAAACATATTTATAAAGTAACAATTATTTTGAAACTTTCAGCATCAGAATTATGTATTTGAAGCAGTTTTTACATATTTGTTTTAATACTGTTTACTAAAATGTACAATTTTTTATGCTGACAAATACTTCTTGCTTACGAATAATGAATCTCGCGGGAGACCAACGCTCGAGGGTTACCTTTACCCACAAATGAACAAACTCATGAATTTTTACTTTCTCCTGAATGTACGAGTTACTCACGAAATTACGTCCCCGCCAACCACTGAAATGCTGGTTTGCCCACACGAGCAATGACCCCCCCCCCCCCCCCGAATAAAAATGATTCCACGCAGTATTTCGAATCTGCACATTAACCGTCTAAAGGGAACGTAGATCATATACTCTAAGAAATGTCCTTCTTATAGTCAACTTATTTTCTTGATGATGTTATTATAATGTTATCTTAACTTCAGCATAATTTTCCAACATTTTCATTTTTTTCAAGTCTTCTGTAAATATTCTGTTTTGTTTTTGGTTGTAACTATTTATTTTGTGTGCTAAGCTCCTCAATTGCTTTTTCTTCAATCAGTCTTTGAAATTTTCCAAAACTTTCAGAAAGTATATGCTGTCTGATTTACATAGCTGGGGTCGAGGGGACATATTTACGCTACGGCTTTCGAGAGCAGTGTTTCTTATATTGTTTTGTTGTTTGGTTTTGGCAAAATACTCACAAATAGTATCTTTAACCAGGGACTTATATACTTAGTATATAGGTCCCTGCTGGAACCTATCAATGGTATAAATTTTAGAATTTTCTTACACATTCTATGTAAGAAGAAATTGATACATAGATTAAAAAAAAAACTGTTGCCGGTAGACAGCAAATAAATTAAATCTATATAAAGATGGCCTGATATATACATTTGAAAATTCATATGGTTAAAATAGGTCAGAGGTCAAGGTCACGAGGTCAATAACCCTGGTAATTCTTCAAAGCAATATAGGAGCAAAATATCAAATTCCTATCCCTCAAGTCTTACATTCAGCACTTTGCAACTTTAGAAAATGGCTGCTCGATTACTGGACACTATTTTTTTCTTTTTACCTTCTGTGTCTTTGCACAAGTTTGTGTCTGTTTATTGCTTAACACCACCTTTACTTCAAATCAATTATTCCAAATGGATAATTATTATAATTATTATTATTATAATTATTATTTTATTTTTTGAAATTTCATAAATTTAAGAACCTTCATTACAATACACGTTCTATACTATGTCTCAAAACATATACTGCATCATACATCTGATGTTACATACAAAGCCCTTCCACACTTGCCAGTATGTAAACCGCAAGACTTCTCTACTTTAAAGGATTTCAAAAGTGTCAGAACTCTTAGTTAACTTGGAACATTCATTCATCACTATGTTTGTGCCTTTCTTGTTCTCATGGGCATTAGACATTGTTAACAGTAACTTTTTTACAGTCTCTGCACTTTACCTTCCATATGCTTGCTTGCATAGGGGGTAGAGTACAACGTACCATTAACCTCCTTTTTCCTGAATGCAAGTATTTTTCCGTGGGCTGTATCCACAGGTACTTAATTGTTTTTGTAATATTTTTTAAAACCCATTGTATAATAAAAACACAAGATATCTAACCCCGAATTACATGGAGTACCCCCCCCCCTCCCCGAATGGCTGCAATTTATTTACCCTTTTAAAAAATGCACTGGCAGACTGTTTATTGCCATTCTCTTCTTCGATAATTTATTTACACAACCATATATGGCATGCTTGTCTTCATTTCTTTCATCTCCGTAAACAGCTTCAAAACTCCGCTCGCCTACTAGAAAAGTCATCTTACATATTGAATTAAGTGATATGTACTAATCTCGGGCAGAGCGCGAATTAAAAAAAAGTTGGTGTGTGTTTAAAAATTCAATTCCAATGTTTAAATATTGCAGTGAATAAATAAAGAAGATGGACGTGACTGGCGTGTGATCTGCAGGAATAAGGCGTACGAAACATTTATAGTTTAATTTGGTCGGCTGACCACACCTGGACATACTTTACAAAGTTGCGCACATGGAAAAAAAAGTTACATTTAGTTTGAAATACTTTGTCAAATTTAATATATCAGTCCGCTCATCTTAATATTTACTACATGTAAAACTTAGCAACGCTTCACATAAATAATAAACACATATAGGGTATAGTTAAATGCAATTACAAGTACATGTATATATAAGGGTATCAAAAGGTTGGAAGAATTGCTTTCGCTTTCGGTGCAACACAACCAGAATTTATCTATTTGAAAATAAATCAATACATAAAATTAAACTGACAAAAGAATTGATTGTGCTAAAAAAAAATATTAACGCTCAATGCGAGTATCGAACCAAAAATATTTCAAATTCATTGCACTGGACGGATAACGCATACTACTGAGCCATATCACCGCTACACATACTTTACGGTCTTAAAAGCGACAATGAAGCACCTCACTTACACATTGGAATTTTTTTTGGAAAAAAGTTAATTTTTTATCGTCTCTGAATCTTCTCTCCATTTCTTACAAATGTTTGTTAGTTTCTTTGAATTAAAATGCACACAAATAACGTTTCAAATTCATGAAGAGATGACTCAGAGATAACAATTTTTTTAGAAAAAAGTGTTTAAAAATGTAACATTTTGTACCAAATGACCTCATCTAGCCAATTTTCAAGTTCTTTTTTCGCAAGTCAAAATATAATATCGAGAAAATATTTCCCTTTCCTATTTCACCGGAACCCGATACATGAAAAGAATGCTAAATTTCATGTGACAGATCAATGAAATTTTCACTTTTCAAGTGCGCCCAGATTCCTGCCGAATGTCAATCAAAAGCGCCCTTGTTCTTTGTTAACGTTTTAGATTCAATCAAAGAAAACAAAACGATGTCTTTCCAGTGTAATTTCAGAAACATACTTTCAAACTCTACTTAAAGACCTTTACCTAGAACATGTTACTTTTGAAGGACAGCTTTTTACATGTATGTAATTGTATAAATGGTATTTATATCATTTAGAAAAATTACATTTTTTTTTACACAACTTTAAATATTCTGACGACAACTGTAATACTATTTTCAATGATAAACCCATTATTTTCTGATATTAAAGTTTTCCAGTCTACAATAGAAGCAATTCCCAAAGAACTCCTGTCCTTGGAATACTTGTCAGTAAAAGAGCATGTCACATCTTTACCTCGGTCGTCCGAATTTATAATTCTGAATTCTACTGTCAATTTACATGTCCATTCAGTACATCTGTCATCTCCCGAACAACTTAAAAAGAGTGCTAGGGCATCATCATGCCTTTTACAAACCACGACCCAAGTCATATCTTGAAAACCGAAAGATGGACTAGAGAGTTTGCCCTTTCGATAATTCAATAAGAGCACACTGAACGTATGCTGGAATGATTGGAAATTATTCAGACATCCCAATTGTCTCACTGCTTCTTCTATCTCTTTTAACGAACTTTTATCGGATTGTTGATCCCTTAAAGTGGCTATTTTTAAACAATCTCTCATTTTATGAATTTTTTCATCAATGTCAATTACGTAGTCAGTTTTTGTTGAGTAGCAAGTCTTCTCCAGTCTTTCAAAGTGTTTATCTACAGCTATTTTCGCCTTTTCCTTTGTAACAAACATTTGCTTTCTACTGCCTTTGGCCTGGATCGCTTTGGTTAATTTTTTACATTCAGCTAAGGTCTTTTGAAAGCCATTAAGACAATCAAGACCAAACTCTTGCATTTGTTCAGCATGTGAAAAGGTTTTTTCAACTGATTTTACAAATTCATTGTGTAATTCATCCAGGATAGATTTAGTTTCTGTGACAACTTCAGACACCAACTGCAAAAGCTGTTCTTTTTGCCTTTTCAGTAACTCATTGTTTTCCCTTACATCTTTTTGGCTTCTTTCCGTTCGTTTCTCGATTTCGTCTAGTTTACAAATGAATTCCTCTATATCAGTATTTGTGTTTTCATCGTTTTCAATTTCATCAAGGGTCTTTACAACAACACATTTTCTATGCTTGGTTACAAAACATATGCTACAACAGAGTTCCTGATGATCAAAACAAAACACTTCCACATCTTTGTTTGCATGGATACAGCAAGCCTCCCCTACTTCTAGTGATTTTAAAAGTGTTGTCTCGTCTACGTTTGTCACATTATGCATATTGTTATCCTTCTTTCGTTTATGGAAATATGTAAGACATTGCTCACAGTAACATTCCTTGCAATCGGTGCAATGGTATTTTGCTGCATTTCTTTCGTTGGCGTGCTTGCACGGGGTGCAGAATATTACTTTTGATTCCGAGTCCGTTGATTCACAGTCAATAAGAGACATCATTAAATGATTTGTAGGTAGCTTTTGAGTCCATTCAGTCGAAGATATGTTCGGCAAGGTAACTTCCATCCGACATATTGGGCACTGGAATACACAGCGTTCGTCTTCTTCCCCCGTATGTGTTCCTTGTACGTAGCTCTGGATACACTGTTCGCAAAACGTGTGTAAACAAGGCAATTGTTTTGGCAATTTCATTTTTTCTAAACAAATTGGACATTTCAGAACACAGTCTTTATCTTCCGGTGTCGCCATTTTTACTTCTTTAGTTACTTTCGTTTCTATTTAGGGGAAATTAAATACATGTATGTTTTTTTTTGGGGGGGGGGGACATTGATTTGATTCTTTATACAACCAAATTCACATGACTAGTATTAATTGAAAGTGGGTCATTTTGTACCTTTTTTAGCGTTATCTGCCCTTGATGGAAATAAATTCCCACAGTGAATGATTCTTTAAATTACATCTTTTTTTTTGATAATGAGAGAGTTTATATGCAAATTTGTATGAAATTCAAATTGCTTTTTACAATATCTTAATAAAATACGCTACCGATCACGGTAGATTAGTGGTAGGGCGTTCGCTTCGTGAATCGGGAGGCCCGGGTTCGATTCTCGTCCGCCGCCGCAAACATACATTAAACATACAAATGTCATGTAGGTAGAGACTGTTCCTTCGCCAAGCCCTGCCCAGCATGCATGAAGGTCTTTCGGATTAGGCATGAAAACCCGAGTGTGATGTTGTACAAAATTAATGGCTGACTGGAGTTCCCGTGTCATGGTAGGCGTTGGCACGATAAAGAACCTTCACTGCTCAAAGACCCTACGTGCCGAGTATGAAGTCCTTCACCAGTATATGGTGACGTCTCGATCTATATTAGTAAAAAAAATCAAAGTACTGAAAGTACTGAAAGCCGGGCTTTAATATGTTCGAGTGTATTGTCTAATCCTAAATTAGTAAATATTTGAAAATCTTTCTTTCTGATCATTGATATTTAACAGGTAGAGTTTGTATGATTATAATTAACAATAACCCATCTACCAATAAAATTTACGGTCCAGAACCCAACGTTAAGACCCCAGGATAGGACTTCGTGATATTTTTAATGAAAATACATTTATACCTTTCTAAACATTAAGCTCACAATGGTTATGCATGGTAACAGTGCACTTTGAGTGGTTTTGCTGATTCATACAGGCACATATATAGTATCGGAGGAGCTAGGGGTGTCACCATTTTTCAAACATAAACTTTTACAATGGACAATGTACATTGAAAGGTTGATTGACTCTTCGCAATCAAATTTAAATTGGAACTTTCAACTCACTCTTCGTAATATAAACCAGGTATTTGTCACGAGCGACGAACAGATTTACTAAAAGCAAAATGGATAGTCTAATTTTGATTAGATTGTACCCATCATTTTATTGTAGCATATTAAAAGTACGGTAATTTGGTAATGAATTAATGAAATTCGAAATGTGAAAGTAAGTTGTAGCCCACCCCTACTCCTTCTCCAACGGAATAGGATTTTCGGGTTTGGACAATTCTCCTTTTTTCTGATAATGATACTACATGCCTGTATTAATCAGAAAAGAAATATTCTTTATTTTTGGTCCTCTAGGAAACCAGCTGCACGAAAATTATAATTATCTAATCTTTATGACATGAATATGAGTCTAGTTCTAGTTCCAGGTTCGGCCATAATGGTCATTGCCTGAGAAAATCATGATGTATTCAGGTCTTTATGGCTCGTACATAGATGGCTCTTCATTCTGAACAGGAAGTTTTGAAGCAAAGACTAACCAACTTTTTCTGAAAAATTATAATGTGTTGTACTTAGATAAAGACTAATGAACATTTTTATATGTTGTTTTCTTTTAATTATATATTAACATAAACGATTTTTATTTCCCAGCACCCTTGAGAGCTTGCGTGTGTTTTAAGACCATTTTTTTTTTTGGAATGCGCGCACACACTCAATATACTGTAAAGCGCTTATGGAGCACATGCGAGATGAATCCAAGGTGACATACCATTGACTTTTCACTAAAAATTTGATCTGAATTTGTAAGCATAAAAATTTTCGACGCTAAATTGATTGTTAAATGGGTATAAATAATTTATATATTATACATAAACATATTCACATGAAATTTCTATCTTAAAGTTTACGTTTTTATTTATTTATATTCCATGCTTCACAGAATATAAATCTTTATCCCAGTCATTTAAATTAATACTATTAAATTAAAATATTAACCAAATGGAATCGCATTGTTTATTTCATATTATGAAAGAAAACAAATAGTTTTGAACTTCATTTACATCACCTTTACACAAGATCTTAGTCGCCCGCGTGGCGCAGTGGTAAGAGCGTCTGCTCTAGAGTCGCGAAGTAAGGAGTTAATCCTTACGTCGCGGGTTCGAATCCCACTGTGGGACGTGGAGACCGGTACTTCCGTTGAGACCGTATAAACCAAGGGCCCGTGTCGCAATAGGTGCTTGCACGAAAAAGATCCCTCACTGCTCAACGGCCGTAAGTGCCGAGTATAGGACAAAATTTGGAGCTCTCCACCGGCAAGTGGTAGTGTCTCCATATGAATGAGTGAGGGACGTTAAACAACATACAAACAAACAAACACAAGATCTTAACCATCATAAGGATTTCTGTTCGAAATTATTTATTAGAAAGGAGAAAGTTAATTTAATTGCATTCAGGGTTATCGAAGTAATACCGTATTTTCAAACCCTTTTCTTTAAACGCATTCAAATTTTAACTTTTTTATTTGAGTAGTAATATATTGAAAACATTTCAGCATTACCAGTATTACAACTGTAAGATTAATCTTCGTGAATATTTACATACATACATCATTAGGCTAAAAAAAAAATTGTTTGTTTCCGGTTATACCCGACTGACCTCCTACACATTTTTTTTCAGAAAATTACGAGTATCCGTAACTGTCTCTTTGTTTTACGAATTCGTAATGGCGGCGCACTTGTTTGCTGCAAGTAGTCGGTGTTCGCTGTTATTTTATGCCGTTAATATAATCATAAAATCATCATCTTTTTGCAATTATTTTGAAAGGAAAAATTTAATAAATTGTCTCCTGTTAAGCCGTTTTCACAAGATCAACCCTGAAAATATCAGCAGGAATTAACACGGTATCGTACCAAATTACATCTAATAAATGACCACCGATGTTTTTAAAATTTATTATTACATTAAATTTCTTGCCATTCAAGACACCTTAATGCTATACTGATCTTAAAAAAAATTACAGATATCACGACATTGTCAGTGGGCTTACTGTTTATACATGCATCACGGACGTAAATAAATATAGGTCAGACTAATTAAAATATAATATCAGTAAACGAACAAAAAATGTCATACAATTTTTTTTAATTCTACCAATAACATATGGCTAGTGAGGGGAATATATAAGTCATTTGTTTTATTTAATTTCACTAATTTAAACATTTAAGGTCACTAATTTTAACTTTTAAGAAAACAATTTTTTACAAAAAATGTTTGTCTGTCAATTGCCAAACTTTTTTTAAAAAGAATGTTGAACCATATGGTTTGCTGATTTTTCTTTAGATAGATTTGAATTAGAATTTAATTTAAAAAAAAAAAATAAATTCATATTGGTTTAATAATTTATGTAATTCATAGTTAAAGAAATGCACATTTTTAGAGATATTCTTAAAGTTTCAAACAAACACTACTTTTATCGCCGACTAGATACACCAGATACACCATGTACAATTGTCAGGCGACCTAATTCAGGCATAACGCACATTAATTAATTCTTTAAACTCCAATTTACTTATCTATTTATTTGCTGAAAGACAAAACAGAGAATATAACCACTCACATAACATCGACGAAAACGATATGAAATATAGGCAACCTGTCGAAAAGCCCGCGCTTATTGAAAATAGTTCGCTTACAATATGCATTCAGTAGCGTATGTGCACAAATTGTTATATCACGATAATAATAAAGTAAATATCTAATTCCTCTTTCAATTTAATTCTCAAACAAAAATATTGATCAATTAACAATTCCGTAGATTGAGATGTAAAAAAATATTTGTTTAAGTATCGTCTTTCAATGTGACTATTTTGTTTATCGGAAGCGTCTGCTTTGACGCTGTTAGGCTTTTTGTTTACTTTTCTGAACATGTGCTATTTATAGTAAGGCAGTCGATCACGATGCCTACAGCCAGGACTTTGCTTTCAGCAAAGCCCGGCTAAAAAAATCGAACGGGACGTAAAAAACAAACAATCAATAAAACATGCTCTTTTCATAGATTTCAGTGTAAAAATCAAGGTACAATTAATGTTCACAGAACATGTCACTGTAACCCTAGAACCACAGGCCTTTAGATCTCTTTAATCCGACTGACAAAACGGGGGGGGGGGGGTTATAATTTTTTTTCATAGATAAATATTTGTATATACCCCCAGTCTTGTCAGTCGAATTAAAGCGGTCCAAAGGCCTGTGCGTAGAACCAATTCTCGGAAAGTATAAACAGGGCATGAAATTATTTTATTTATCTAATAATTTTTTTTTCAGAATTACAGGTAAAAGTCTTTCCAATAATTTCAATTTTTCTTGAGTATCAGCTATGAAATCACTTTGACAAGACTTTGCCTTTGCTCTGAACATATGCTCTGAAACCTAGCTGGTAGTCAAGAGAATCAGTAAATATCTAGCACCTAGCTGCTAGGTAAGCTTCATAGCCGTAGGAACTGGGGGGGGGAGGGGGGGTACCATAGAAGTGTACCATAGAAAACAGCTTCTTTATGCTTGACCCCCTCGACAATAACGTTTTTAGTTGTTTTTGGCTTACCAAGGTATTTTTGCTTGGTCGTGTCCCCTCTAAGCTGAAAGTGTTTTGCTATGACCCCCTCTCAGTCAGCCATCTGCATAAAAATTGCTTCCTTTGGGAGTGTACTATGATTTTTTATCTGAATGGACGTACATGTACCTCTTCTGTCAGAAGTAAGTCTGCTGTATCTTTTCAAATATTGTTATCCTTTAAAATGTTTAAAACGAAAATGTCACTGCGCAGAAAATCACCGCAGGTACTTGTGGACCGGACCCTGCTCCTGCGATACCCCCTCCCCCCGAATTTTTTTTTATAATTATTTTTTTTTATCTCTTACCACTTCATGTACATGTTCCTGAATAACATTCGTTACCCCTATATATATATATAGAGAGAGAGAGAGAGAGAGAGAAGTGGTAAAAGATAATAAATAAAAATATATATTAAAATTAAAAAATTAAAGAGGAGGGGGGAGTGCATCGTACAAGCAGGGTCTTGTAAGTGTACTTCAATTTATGTCGTCCATGAAGGATGTGCATGTAAGCATGTACATGGAAGTTATGCACAAAGGAAATGCAATATACTAGATGTATAAATGCACGCCAAAGTAATCAATGAAGTCATTGAAATGATACTGCAAAATCTTATCACCAGCTTCAGATTCGAATCAAGACTTATTTATCAACAGGATTCCAAGAATCCAGAATCCATTTGAAAAAAAAAATCATTATCTTGCTTTCTGGTCAAGAACACTTCAAGTAAAGACAAATATTACAATTCAATTAAACTTTATTTTAAACAGTCCAGAGGATAAAGTACAACAGGAAACTATAATATTTAAATAAGAGATGAAATAAACTAAAACAGTTCTAATAGGACTAAAACCACCAGTCAACTAATGGAAGGAAAAAGTCTAAAATAACTTTAACAAGAGCTCTGCCATCTTGCTAAGATGGCCTAAATAAAGTTGAACTGTATCTTATTGAAGGTTGTAACACATTTTTTGTGGAGTATGAAAATAATAAAATCCACAGTACTGGTTCTAGCATTAAAGAGTCATGGCAAAAGAACATTCAACTTTTGTAACAATCAATCCCTGTGTGCCAAGTATGACTTCCTGGTGCTCCTTCAATAAAAAGACCTTCTGAATTTGATACCTTTGAACGTTGTGACCTTGACTAAATGTCCTTTGTTCTGTGTCATAATCAACGTCAATGCCATTAAGATCTAGCATTTTAACCTTAAAATCAAGTGACCTTGTACAAATGACCATGTTGCTTGATTGTTGCACTCTCTTTGGTAACATGGAATCTTTGAGCCAAGCACAATCTTTAAACGTTTTCCATCATCAGAGTTATTGTCAAGGCAACAATTTTAATTTGTAAAGGCTATGACTTTGATCTTTGTTGGGATCAGGTCGTACCCTCAAGTCATAAGCGCATTTTTCTCATGTATAAGCTTCTAATGTTTCTGCATAATTTCATTGAACAACAATGCATATTTTTGTATCCCCCAACTTTGATCTTGTCTAAAATGACATTGATACTGGATCAACCCACCTCTGGACACAAAAACCTTTGTATTAAGTACAGTACCAGTATGAGCCTCTGAAAGTTAATATGTTCAGAAGAGAATTTCACTTCTTATTCCTATCATCAGTAGATTAAAAAGACACAAATTTTGACGAATTAACCTGAAAAGGAGCACGTATTCAAATATAATGTATTATTTCTACAAAATTTGGAAAAGTTTCAGAGATAAAATACAGACATGGTGATTCCAGTATATACTCCAAAACTTTTTGATGGGGGGGGGGGGGGTAGAGTGAAGGCCAAAGGTAGAAATGAGTGCATACTATACAGTAGCATTATATTATCTCAAGATGGACATCTTATACAAATATATTAATTACATACTTTTCCACTGATTACCAGTTACATACTTTTTCTTTGATACTATGGGCATGGGTCATTCATGGCCACAGAATAAGTAATCAGAGACTCAAGGGCCACAATGCTCACCCGTTACCTTTCTCTTCCAGATGGAGTTATGAACACATTGTGAATATCAAATTAAAGTCTTCCACCACCACCCCACCCCTTTTGAAAATTTTAATTATTAAGGCTGGACGTTTTTTTTTAAATTGTAGCTTTGCTGAAATCTGATGTGTCCCTGAAAAATTTTATTTCTGAAGAATTCTACAACAGGGCAAGGTCTTAATAAGTTTGAATTTACTTGGGGATATTTTACAACTAAATAAGACTTATTTTTGAGTCTGCTGCTGTTTTAAATTAAAAAAAAAAACATCTTCTTTGTACTCTCTGATTCCCTATGTTAGCCCTGACTGGTGCTGAAAGTCATGATTTGATCAAAGTATAATCTACATTATTTAAGAATGCCAATAAAATTTTTTCTCCTCTGGCTCAGTGTTGCTTGAGAAAAAGATTTTTAAGAAACTCCTCACATTTTAATCTCTTTCTGGATTTTCTCCCCTTGACATGTGGTCTTTCATAAAAGCAAATCAAATCCTCATTCAAGAATGCTTTCTGCTAAATTTGGCTGAAATTGGTGAAATGGTTCTGGAGAAAAAATAAACACTGTTAAAAAAACTTTACAAACAACACACTACAGACAGACAGGGACACCAATCAGAAAATTCGGCTCAGGTGAGCTAATAAAGAGGGTTTAAATTACATACACAAATAGAGACCTCTGTAATTTGTCAAAAAGTCAGCATATTTTTATAAATATATTAAGTTAACATTAGAAAGCATGATAATCAACAAGCAAATAATCAGTATTCATTAGTGATTTACTAGTAATCAAAAAGTCAATGAACTGTTTTAGAATGGAGATAATACAATTTCACCTCAAAATCATGAATTTTGCAACAATAAAAAGTTCTTGGAGAAACACTGTCTCTTTTATCATCCCTCAATTAATGTTTGGTATAAATCTTCCAGTTACTGGTATTCATGGATGATATTACTCCAAAAACAAAATTACTCCGTTTGTAAACAAAAATTGGAGCATTGTGTTTTTATATGTACAGTCAGCAGGATGAAGGAGACTATTGATCTTTGTTTACTTCTGTTCATTTCCAAGAGATTTTGTTGACTTGTCTCAACATGAAGACATTTAAATAATTGCTTAAAAAGAATCAGTATTCAAAATCAAATCTTGCAAATTTCCTGCACTTTTGACTGTATTTATAAACACATATCATTGAAATACAAGCATACATGTACTACCTTTTTTTTTCTACAGAGACAGATTTTACTTTCATATACATTTCATTTTTAACTTTGTTTCATGAACTTGGGCTACAAGTCATACATTATGCAAATGTGCTGAAATTTTTCAGAACATAAAAAGTACAATTTAATTATCCTGTAAAGTGTTTGGAACAAATTGAAAATAACAGTTTGTAAGATGTATGTATTAACATTCTACTACAAGATAAGTTTATAATACATACATGCCCCAGTCTGGTCAATAGTTGGGGAAATTTGACCAAACTTGGGCAATCTCACTAGGACTACTACAAAATGGACAGATGTTTGAAAAATGAGTAAAAGGACTCAACAAAACTTGAAAGTATAAATTATGGCACATCTTCCAGTCTTATTAAGCTTTTCTGTCAATCTTGGCTATTATTAGTTATCCAGGTTCAATCAAGGGTGTAGGGGGATTTAATTTACCCCGGGTTTTATTCCATACACCCTGAGGCCGAAGGGTGTATGGAATACAACCCGGGGTAAATCCCCATACACCCTTGATTGGATCTGGATAACAAATTTATTTCCTTTGTACCCAAATAAATTATATGGAAACAAGTCCAATCAACTGTGTTTCAAGCTATCAATAAGATTTACTACGTCTTACAATGCATCGTGACGTCATGTTATTTGCTTTTTATCATAAACTATGCATTGTGACGTCACGTTATTTACCCCCGGCTTAAGTCAGGTGTACGGAAATTTACCCCCGGCTTTGTAACCAACCAAAGCTACATAGGAAATAATGTTTCTCATTTAGTATTCAAAAACTATGGATAAAACATAAACTTTGCAATCTCTGTGACCTTGCATGCTCAAAATGACCTTGGTCCAGGGTCTAGATAATATATTCCTAGTTATTACTGGGTAGCTACCACTTAACTAAATGTGAGGACATTGTGAATTTCAAAATTGATGAGCAACTTTAAAATTACTGTTGCTGGACCTTTATAGGGAAATAAATAAATGGAATCATAAGAAAAAGCCAGCATCCAAAACTTCAGTAAAATTCCACATCATTGATTCACCACCGATTACAAAATAAAGTAGAATACATGTACGTGTATAATGTTGTGTACTTTTGCTACAATGGAATGTGAACCATTTTGGACTTTTAAGGTCCAAAAGATATAGAATTATAAACAAGTCCTTCCAAAAGCCATAAGAATCCTGCATGAATCTATAAAGTTGTGCAAGAGGTGTCATGACTGTACCATTCAAGGTCATGGTGACAGATTCTATCTCCTTATTCCCCTCTATGAATCCGAGAAGTATGTATCCTTACCGAGTTCTATGATCTATTTTGGTATCATCTGTATTATTCAGGAGAGAATCTGTTTTTCTGATATCCAAATGAAATCGTCCATCTAGTGGTGTCTCTTCTTTCTTGAGGTACTACCACTATCTGATCTGCTTCAATGTCCACATAATCAAGTTCATTACAAAAAATATCATTTAGATATTTTAAATATATAGTACATGTACATCATTACTGATTATATCATAAAGACATACCGGTAATTAATCAATGTAATATTCACCTTTTATGGCACATACATGTGTATTGTATCGCATAACCCTATACATGTATCACAATGCAACAAATCACTGAATTGTATTTTATATGTACATAATCAGACTGAAATACCGGTAATTACTCTAGTACTTCATGTCTAATGTAAAATATACATTTGTTTACATCAACCCTATGTTTCCATCTTGAACCTTCATTGGGAAAAATATAAGCATGAGTGAAAAATACAAAATAATATGACACATGTATTCACATATGAATATGTTTTGTATTTTCTTTTACCAATGATTTCAGTACAAGCAAGTACACCCTGTGCAGCTTAAAATGGCTGACAAAGTTTACAATATCAACACAACTCCTGGCATATACTATACTCACCATTGCTAATGTTGGCCATGGTTGCCTCTATTTTGATTCATAATGATTCCCATTTTCATTAGCAATGGAAGCAAGTTTGTTCAGCTTGCTTAAAGTAATTATCATTCCGATTGAAAAAACGATTGAACCCATCATTTGTTTAAGATTTCTATACATTCATCTAATAAGTGATTTGTATTCTGATCCTATGACTCCACCAATATCTGAATTATCAGATTTTGCCCTCTCATATGATCAAAAAAAGAAACCAAAAACATATCATGTTGTTTCATGACACTGGTGGGATCTAAAAACAAAAGATCCTAAATTACCAATTAATTATACTACCTTATGTACAAATTCATCCATAACAAAGATGTTTTTAAAGACCTACAAGTAATCAAAAATACAAGACTGAGAACAAAAATATATTGAAATGTTAAGTTCCTTGGTATAAAAAGGTTTTCCCTATCCATAGCAAAAGATGATGCAGTTATCCTTCCTCGTGTTTATTGGATGCTGCACTTGTCATCCGTCTTCTTCCGTTCTGGATAATCCATCCTTTCTACACGCCCAGAAGAAGTCCGGTAAGAGAGACCTGGCGATTCTAATGGGCTTACCTGAGAAGCAGGTAAATCTGAAGGTGAAGTTGGAGATGACAGATAAGGATTGCTGTACACCTGTCCTATCCTTACAGAAGGTTGAGCACCAGCATTCTGAGCACTGCTTGCTTGAGTGTAGGCTCTGCTTGGGTAAGCCTGAGCAACATTAGAAGAGTTTGAGGCACTGCTAGAAAAATTCTGGGCATTACCAGAATATACATTAGCAGGCAATGGATTGAAGCTGCCAGCAGTTGCTCCCAAAGACGTTGGCCTGCTCGCAGACATTGAAAATGGAGCAGGATTGGAAGCAGATGAAATAGAATCATCATCTTTCTCCTTATATGCTATCAAGTATTCTGGGTAGCTCTGGTTTCTATCAAAAACAACAAATATTGTAGGGTTGGCCATGTTATCTACACAAGAATCATACCTCTTGTGACCTTCCCCTGGGATGTTGGGAGGACATTTCATGTCCCTTTCCCCTTTGGTATAACTACCAATCAGAACCTTGGCTTTTAACATCAGGCGCAATGGACCTCTTGTGTAGCAATTGCTGTACTTAGAAGTGGTAGCAAAGTATGACCCTTGGCCATACATAGTGGCATTTTTTCCACTCAATCTAAAATCAAAATTGTTGGTACAAATTCCATAACAAGTGTCAATGGAATCTGTGCCATGAAATAAACTTCTCTCATCAACACTTCCACCTCTAGCCTCATTGATTCTTTCCATATTGGTTTTCTTCCTATAAACATGAAAAAAATGAGAAAAGCATTAAAAATCAATTGTTGTAAATTTCTTCTTCTTCTTTTTTTAAACAAAAATAAATATTTCCTCCATCCCCATCATACCTAGTCATGACTCTGAGACTTAAATATTTTGACCTTTACAGCAATGAACAAAATTTTTTTTCACTGAGAGAAGTGTTGCAACACATGATTTAATACAGCATTGGATCCTGACTTTGAATACATGACCTTGAGGGGTTTGAACCCTGACTTTTGACCTTGTGAGTGAAGTTGTAACTTAGTAATCAATAGGGGTCATTTACATCTTAGGAGATACTAGTTTGATGTCTATCAAGCAAAGGTTCTAAATGAGCAAACACTAACTTCTTATGTACATCTTCCTATGTCCAGAGTAGTTTGACCTTTAACCTAGTTACCTCAACTTCAGGGTTCACCTACTCCTTAGGGAGTTTTAGTGTACCAAGTTTGATGTCTGTCAAGGGTTCTTTAGATATTGAGTGGTCAACACTTGATCTACCAGAAGACCAACAGACCTACCAACATAAAGATCCATTGGCCAGTACAGACCACTAGCTATGCTCTTTTTTTTCAAAGGGGAAATATTGAAACCAACATGTGGCAGATAAATGGGCAACATCAACAAGGAGCAATAGCATACAATACAGAGATTAATAAACAAATTATTAGAAAGTTTTAGTGTGCATAACATTGTTGTACATCTCTACTTAAAAGTCATTCATTGTTATTTGCTTAATCTCTATACATGAACTTGAATTTATCACTTTCCCTTGAGAAGCAGAATATATTTCCTAAATTTTTATGATACAAGATCCGCTTTTGTTAATTCTATTCTACTTAGGAAAGCAGTACTTTTGGAGGAAAGCAGCATAAAATAAAGTACACAGCTAAATGCTATGTATCTCTCTCTCTATACAGTACATTCAGATATGGGCTAAATCAAATCTTTGTTTTCGCGAAATATTGTACATGCTAAATATAGTACATTTACAATATATAAAACTTTTCAAAATAATAACCAATAAATGGGGTATTTACAAGGTCAGCACAAATCTTCGCAATCTTGACTTACATTTTGTACTCATTCCAAAGCTCCAGATTCTGTACGCGATAAATATTGCAGATCTGAAAATTCTCCTCCTTGAGTGTACTGAAGAAAGAAGACTTGACATCCCTGAACTCTTTGTTAGATTCTTCCAAATCCACCAATTCAAAATCATGTGCCAAATCCCATGGGGCCCAACCTGGGGGTTTGGGGCCTGGATGTGATACTGCAAGGTATGGTGGACTGAAAAATGAGTAATAGAGCTTGATTATGAAATATTTGCAAATATCATACACATTTGTATGGGAAAATCTAAGGTACAAATAAAATCAATCTAAAAATAAATTAAATCCTACCTCTGAATTGCTTGTTATCATTTTTTTCACATTGAAACAAATATATTAACATGCTTATTAATTTTCACATTGAGATTACTATGTGCTTCATTATTTCTACCAATCAGGGATTTATCTTACTTAAAAGAGCATTGTGTGAGATAATTTTGGATCCAAAAGCTAAGGTCCCCTTGAAGATGCAAGAAAATGCATTCCTGTGATTTAAGAAAGGGGATTGAAATATCATAAATGAAGATTTTTTTTTTACCAAACACAATTTGAATGTCCCTCTCCTATTTTACCCCTGACTTTTGCTATAAATGACTTTTTTCAATGCAGCATTGATCTTTTGAATATAATCTTAAGTCAAAATTAAAGTCATACAACTTATGGATCATCAGAAACAGCATATTCAATTGCATTAATTCCAATCAAGGATTCTAAATTTATTAAAGCATTAATTTTTCATCTCATTGACCAGTGATCTTTTAAGATAATAAACCTGTGTTTAGATCATATAAAAAAATCTGGGTCATTTGCAACATCATTATTAAATTCAATATAATTAAAACATAGGTTCAAAACTTACAGCCTGGACATCATTTTAATATCTTACTGCCCATGCAGTGACTCTCAATATTAATTGCATACATTATTTGTTGTCCAGAAGTAAAAGAAACTTTGAATACTGTATCAATTTTGATGGTTTTGGCCACATACCTCAGGACAAAGGGAGACAGAAAGCAATTTTTGTTCCCCTTTACCTACAGATGCTTAAGACCAAAATTGATTGAAATCAATTCATTTGTTCCAGAGAAAGCTAAAAATATTCAAAAGTTTTGCCTCACAAAATTCATAACTTTTGTTCCCCTTCACCCATAAATACTACATGTCGAAATTGGTTGAATTTGGTTTCAGTTCCAGAGAAGAAGCTGAAAATGTTCAAATTTTAACTACTGACACATGATAAAACGTCGAAGAACAAAATCACAGATAGCAATGGGTCACCTAAGTGACTCACATGACCTAAAAAAGGATGACTAAGTTTTTAACACCTTTATCTACATGTCTTAAATATACATTATCTTACAATGATTTTGCTGCCACATCAGCAAGGGAGAGAAACACTGGTCGACGAAGAATCTTGCGAACTTTAGCTGTATCAATATTCATCTGCTGAAAACCTGTGAAATCTATCCGATACTTAAATCGGTAGCTTTCTCTAGTAAAAAGGTAACTCTTTTGTCCCATGACATATTTCTTCTCTAATGTATACTGGAATCTTTCCTGAGAAGAAAAAGTAAATAGGCATATAAATCTGAAAATGAACTGAAAGTTTACATATGTTAACAGAGAAATTTTATTACCCGTGTTGAAAGTGATGTATTATGGTTTTTTTTTTTAATGTTTAATCATTTCACTATATACAATGAACTACAATTCTCACTGACTTAACTAAAAATTAATCTGTGAAACTTGAAATACCATATTGACACAAATCTGTTCCTCAACAGAATGGACTCTTTATTAATATGTTCTAAAATGATATTTAATTTTATTATTCTATAACAACAAACCTTGTCATACAGAATCCACCGATTGGCGTCATCCTGATAGTACCACCTCCACTGGGTGTGGAATGACCCCGCAGCTAATGGCTTCTTCTCCTTGGCAAAGGACGCGGTAGACAGCCGCCTAATGGCAAGAACGTCTTGTGTACTCAGTGGCTCCTCTCCGTGGATTATCTCATACACTACTCCCTTTTCTTCATTAAACTTCATGTGAACTCTGTATTTCCTCTCTTGATATTCCACCTAAATATATAGTTCCTTATATTACTAAGAATAAGAGGTAGAGTAATAATACAGTTGTTGATATGGCATGAATGCAAGAAAGTAATTTCTATATTTAATTTTTAGCTTGTGTTATTTTTATGTACCAGAGAATACACCCTAAGATTTTTACCTACTCAAGACTTATAATGTACTTTAATTTTATTTTGTCCACTAAGGTGAAAAAAGAAAAAATACACTTGGACAATAACCAGCTATATGCAGTATACATTGAAATCATCAGTTAAAATACAGCTTTTACAAAGTACATGTAATTCTGATAGATTGATTCACATCTGTGATTTATAATAAATGACCTTACAGAGGAGCAAATCACTCTGATTACTAAAATATAATATAGTCAAATCTGGATATTTCAAATATGGCAGGACAATCAGAAATCTTGTGCAATATTCAGTTGGTTCAAGATATCAAGGTTCAGATTTGCATGCATAAGGTTGGGACCTATGACTTACTTCCATTACATATATCTCTGCTATTTGAGATATCTGTGTTTGAGATACCAACAATTAACTGTATATCAGCCCTAATTTATTCAATGTTTTAAAATAAAATTTCTTACTTCTCCCCCTTCCATGTCTTCTAGACTGCAGTAGCTTTTTTCCAGTTTCTGGTTTTCTTCATCATCAAAGCTGACCCAGTCTCCATAGATACGGATCTGCCAGAGGTAGGGGAGCCGGGTGTGGTGTTTATCACAGTTCCTTTCCTGGCAGGTTGCCAACAAACTACTGACACAGATGTCTTTTTTGTGGGCATCCTTGTCTGTTATACTTTTAGATGTCACTTCCTGTGCAATATTATCTAAAATAAACAAAAAAAGAGTACGTGAAAAATCTTCTGTTTCTGAGAAATGATTTTGTTGTTAAAATAGAGCTTATTTTGTCCACATGGGGGAAAAGTTTGATGCCTGTCAATCAAAGTGAATCTGAATTGAGTTAGCAGGATTGATGCAAAAAAAAGTTCAAAATGTATATACAAACTGAATCAAATGCAATGCAGTATTGAGAAATGCATTAATGTTACCTCTCATATGTTGAGTATACATTATAAAATTGGAAAATAAGTAAAATTTAATGAGTCACTTCTTATTTAATGTCAGATAACCCTTCCTAATTTTCAATTACCTGAGACTTTCATATTAAACATAATACCTGGAATGGATGCCTCAGTGTCTGGATTTCTAGCAACATCCAGGAATTCCGTGTCCTCCACACCAGCAGCCCATCTGTCTTTTCTATCTAGTCTTCTCCTCTGGGTGGAGACCTCTTCTGTTGGCACTGGAATGTTTCTTTCATAACTCCTATCGTAAATAACCTTTTCCTCTTCCTCATCTGTCTCCTCCTCCTCCTCAACATCATCATCTTCTTCATCATCATCATCCTCCATGTCATCAGACAAATCTAATTCATCCACATTACTCATGCATTCAGCAACATCAACAGTGGATGCCCCATCACCTGGATTCTTTTTGCTTCTTGGTTTTCGTGGCATATTGATGAGAAATTTCAGCAGGGCTAATTTTTCTTTGGTCCACTTGTCCATCCTATACCATGACAGAACCCACAAGTTGTGTGGAGTCTCTAAATCATGTCCTCGTGGACAGTCAGAATCTTCACACTTATCTCGAATGTAGTTATAGCAAATATGAAGATAAGGACAATCATCACCCTCTGGGCACCTTTTTTTGTGGCAAATCTGGGGATACCTGCATTGTACAATAGTTTTTATTTCTGCATCTTTAAAAGGATTAAGGCCTAGTTTTGCTTTCAAGACCCTATTGTGACCTTTTGTAAATGTATGCCCTTTTCTACATTTGAAACCACGTTTGCACCATCCATTCAAGAAGAAGTTACAAATATGAAAATGGTTGCAATCCTTACGGTTACATTTCTTATTTCCTCCAAAACCCATATGATCAACACACACTGTAGCATTGATGAGGAAGGGTCTAATAAATAAAGGTTTGTGGTTCCTTTTGTAAATTGATAGTCGCTTCTTTGGCTCCATTATCCACTCATCAAAATTTGATGGCAAGGGAGAATATTCCTCTTTGAATTTTGATACACTGGCACATCCACCCATTTCCCTCACCAGGAATTTGAATACTTTAGATTCTGAGAAGCTTACATCTGCATCGTCCTCAAATTCACGGCTGGGCTGCTCCGTTATACCGTCTTGGCTAGACTCCTGACCTCTGTCACTTCTCTCCGTATTACCACCCCTGCCACCTCTACCCCTGCCTCTGACTCCCCTTTCACTCCTACCCCTTGCAGGCTGTGAACTCCGACTGCTCACACTTTCATTGTCAGAGTCATTCCTTTGATAGGAATCTCTATCATCATTGGATTGACTAGGAGCATTTCTTCCTCTGCCTCTTCTCCTGTTACCACGACCTCTACTTGACTCTGAAACAAAGCTGGACACACTTTCATTATCAGAGTCATTGCCCACATCACCCTCCTCTGGCATTTCTTCTCCATCTTCCAGTGCACCTGTTCCTCCTTTTCCTCTTCTTCTCCTTCTTCCACCTCTACCTCTTCCTCTCTGAGCCTGGGACTCTTCCCTTCCACCACTATCTGCGTTCCACCCATCCATAACAATTTCAGTGTTTTCTCTTTCCTGTTGCTCTCTCTGCCTGTTTCTACTTTGTGTTCCTTGTTTCTTGTCTTGAGCTAGTGGTGGTTTATCACTAACAACATTCACACCAGGCATGGTTAGCTTCTTAAGGTGCTCTAATGTTTCATTGAGGATTTTCTCTTCATCACGCTCTTCTTTCTTTTCCTGTTTTGCTTTTGATTTAGCACTTTTTTCTTTACTTTCCTTGGGTCCCTGTTCTTCTTCTGTTGATCCTGAATTTAGACAAGGCAGATATAATTAAACAGTCAGTAATTTACCTTACAACTTCAGTTAGTGTTTGGGAAAAAATATTCTAACACTGGACATTTAGAGTGACAGTCTGATGCACTTCACGGGACCAAATGAATTTTTGAAGGACCAAAACTTTCTATTAACAAGGCCATTTATGTTTATTAGTTGTTTTCCAAGGCTTTCAAGTCAGTTGCATTATGTGCATTACAAATTGGCAACCTATTACTGTCTTTATTTTCGTTAACAGGATATACAATAATAATAAACAAAAATGAAAAAATAAAATAGCAATGTTAAGTACATTTTTTATTCAGTTATATAAACTAAGAAACTTTTTAAAATGGTGTTTTGTTTATTTAACTAGGCTTAGATCTCATTTTCTAATTTCATTTTTGTACAACCATGTCATTTTTACTACAATTTACTAATGCATGAAATTAATCACAAATGGAATACTTAGTTAAATATGATTATTTTTAACTAGTACTATTATAAATCCTTTACAATTATTTTTGAAAATTATTCAAATGAAAGAAAAAATGTTTGATGCATGTATATTTACAACCAATGGTAGAAAATGGCAATTTCTGAACTCTCAATCAGTGGTACATTGAACTTCTGAGTTTGCGAGAGTCACCTGTATTATACAAATGCTTATAAGTTAAGAAAAAAAACTCTTAATATTAAGAAGCCTTCAGATATTTGACCTAATATTTTATCTTTATCATTGGATGAAATCAGTTTTCATTGGATTTATTTGACGGATTGGTTCTTTTGAGATAATAAAAAAAAAAAAAAACTCTTGAGACTACAGATACTGTGAGCACCGAGCTCACAAAATGACACCTCCCACTCCCATATGAGTACAATGACAAAGTGCATTTCTTGGCAGTATTCAATGAAGAGATTCTTTGAAAGTTCCAACAAATTTCATTCGGGGTTTAAGAAGAGTTTAGTTAACCAAAAAAGTATAATGGCAACATCCATATTTTGCCATAGAAAACCCTATAAAATCTGTCTGATTGAAACGTAAAATAGGAGGTGCACATGCAATTGCACTATGTAATGAAGATTTCTGTGAAAGTTTCATTAAACCTTATTCAGTGGTTCCATAAACTAGGACAATAATGGAGTTTTATGAAATACAGCATAATAAACAAAGTAAAGCTGCTTACTACATGTGTGCTGTGTACTTCTCTTCTAATGGCGTGGGATATGTGCCTATAGTTATCTCTTGGGACACAATATTGATTAATGACAAGGTTACATGAAGATGGAGTTTGATGTTAATAACTAAACATTTTCATAGTTTTTGAAAATTATACTGTGCCACCAATGAATTTTATTCTTTTTTAATAATAGAATTTAACAAGTGTTAGGAAGAAATAACTATATATGCAAATCTGCAAGTTTTCTTCCAGAGTCAGTGAGCTGATCGAACTTCAAGTACACTTTCTCCTGACATGTTTACAAACTCCCAAATGCCCAGACAACATTCCAAGCTTGTGACCTGGGGGTCAGTACATATGATTTTGATTACATAATAACAAATTATGCAATGACTACAAATGGAAAATACTGTCAGGAAGACGGTAAAATTCAAAAAGTAGTATTTTTTAATGATTTGAAAAGTTTATTCTTCCGATTTGTCCTGATTCAAAGACATAAATAGAGGCTATTCAGTGTACTGTAGTTCCATTTGGATTTTTTTCACTAGTGGGACAGGACCTTTGTATATTTTCTCACTAGTGCAAGGCACAAGTGAAAATATGAAAAACAAGAGGCCCAGGGGCCACATCGCTCACCTGAGCACTCTGGCTAGGAAAAAGCAGAAAGCAGTCCAGTCTTGAAAAGTTTTGATATAAAAGCGTTTCGAAGGGGGTGGTGGTGGGGGGTGGGGGTGGGGGGTGGTGTAGGGTGTTGATTTGAACTAATTTGAATCTATACTTCATAGGGATGCTTTTGAATTAATATGACAAATAATGGCTTTGCTGTTCTTAAGAAGACAATTTTAATTGATATATCATTTGTTTGACTATGATCCCCTGTTATGGCCCCTCTATTCTCCTGCGGGTTCATGATTTGAACAAAATTTTAATCTACATTACCTGAGGATGCTTCCATTTAAATATGACTAATTATGGCTTTGCTGTTCTTAAAAAGAAAATTTTTAAACATTTTTTCCTATGTATTCCTATGTAAAACTTTAAAAGCCCATTGTGGCCCCACCCTACCCCAGGGGGGTCATGATTTGAACAAACTTGAATCTACACTACCTGAGGATGCTTCCATTTAAATATGACCAACCATGGCTTTGCTGTTCTTGAGAAGAAGATATTTACAGATTTTTCCTCTGTATTCCCATGTAAAACTTTGATCGCCCATTGTGGCCCCACCTGACCCCCGGGGGTCAAGATTTGTATAAATTTGAATCTACACAGTGATTTTTCTACATTTTTTAAAAGGGGCCTGGGCCTTTACAATTGGGAAAAATCATCGACATTTGTGTAAAATTGGGAAAAATCAATAAGATTGAAATAAACCTTAATTGACAGGTAAAATAAAATATATAAGTAAATGTAACATCATTTATTCAAAATATTTACTACAAAATAACAAATTAGACACAGTTCTACATTTTTAACTTTTTTTAATCTTCGAAAGATGTCATTAGTTGTGACCGTCCTATATTTCAATTCTTTTTTTTTTTTTTTTTGCCATAATGGTAGACATAAAAAAAAATCCTACTCATAATAGCCATTGAAGATGATATAATCTGACATGATTTAAAACAAATCATTTTTCTTCTAGCTTTCTAAATCACCCTAATGATTGTGCTGCAATTACCCTGCAATATTAGTTGCATCTGCCGGGTGTAGAAACAGTTTGATTTTCATGGAATCAGGGATGCTTGTTGTAGAACTACTAGTTCTTGGAATTACAAATACAGCTATGTTTCGCCTGTTCACATGCATCTTACACTTTCTTACGATGTATTTAGTTTGACGTTTGACATGATCCATGTGTTTTTCTATGTCTTGTAAACGCACAAAATGATCTGCTGTTTTTCACTATTATTTTAAGAGTATGAATGACCGAGAGCAATAGCGTTCCAATTTAGATAAGTCGTACATAAAAATTTCAATATAACAAAATCAATAACGGTTTTTCTGGGGGGAAAAAAGCAACTGAAATTGGGAAAAAATCGGTAATTTTTGATAGGGGAAAGGGCCAATATTCGGACCTAAATTGGGTGTAGAAAAATCACTGCTACACTACCTGAAGATGCTTCCATATAAATATAACCAATCATGGCTTTACTGTTCTTGAGAAGATTTTTAAAGATTTTCCCTGTATATTCCTATGTAAAACTTTGATCGCCCATTGTGGCCCCACCCTACCCCAGGGGATCATGATTTGAAAAAACTTGAATCTACACTACCTGAAGATGCTTCCATATAAATATAACCAATCATGGCTTTACTGTTCTTGAGAAGAAGATTTTTAAAGATTTTCCCTGTATATTCCTATGTAAAACTTTGATCGCCCATTGTGGCCCCACCCTACCCCAGGGGATCATGATTTGAACAAATTTGAATCTACATTACCTGAGGATGCTTCCATATAAGTTTCATATTTTCAAGCCCAGTGGTTCTTGAGAAGAAGATTTTTAAATGATGCCATTAATTTTTCACGAATTCATAATTATCTCCCCTCAGAAGAAGGCATGGCCCTTCATTTGAACAAACTTGAATCCCCTTTACCCAAGGATATTTTGTGGAAAGTTTGGTTGAAATTGGCCTAGTAGTTCTTGAGAAGAAGATGAAAATGTGAAAAGTTAACGACAACAACAACGACAACGAAGACAGACAACGGACAAATTTCGATCAGAAAAGCTCACTTGAGCCTTCAGCTCAGGTGAGCTAAAAATCCTGTTTCACAAGTAAAATAAATTCCACATTCAATAAAAAAACTTTGAATTTTTTGTTTGTTATATTTTCTTTGATTTCCCTTCGCCTCTGACTTTTTGCAACATAGTGTGGTCATTGTTAAGTACTTAGTAGTTGAGATGTCATACTGTAGCCATTTCAAAATTGAAAACTGTAAACAGGGACTTTAACAATAATTGGCAGAAACTTTGGCACTTTTAGTCTCTGTCAGAATGGTTTATATACTTTCACTTATCTTTTTACGGGCTAGGGAGTAATTTTACACCAGTCTTCGTGAGGGGAGAAAAATCTTGAGTTTTGCTGCACTCTATATTTTTCCCAGTGTGTAAAAATATCATATTTGTTTGATATTTTTACACACTGCAAAAAAATATCACCAATATTCAATAAATATACAATGTATTACAATATTTCACTTTGAAAATGTAATAAAACAAGAACTCTGTGAGCCAATGATCACTAATAATACCCCCGCTCTTATGTGAATACACAAGTTCATTTATGGACAGACAAAGGGATAAACAAGAAGTTGACATCGGATTCACACAAAAATGCATCCCACCATATGACATGCCTAACCAAAGAGTGTGCTAAACTTTCAAGCATCTGTGATAAGTAGTTGCAGAGAAAACTGCAACAAAAAAATGTTATATATAGTATGGACGAATGCACGGATAAACAGAAAGTTGACATCATATTTGTACTAAAATGAATCCCACCTTATGGCATGCCTAAACAAAGAGTGTGCTAAACTTCCAAGCATCAGCAATGAGTAATTGCTGAGAAAACTGCGACAAAAATTTGTTATGAATGGTATAGACAGACACTGGGATAAACAGGAAGTTGACATCAGATTCATACGAAAATGAATCCCACCATATGGCATGCCTAAACATGCTAAACAAAGAGTGTGCTAAACTTTCAAGCATCAGCAATGAGTAATTGCAGAGAAAACTGCAACCAAAGTTTGTTACAGACAGACAACAGCTAGACAGACAGACACACAAGGCAAAATCAGAATACCCTCCTCTCCTTCGGAGCAGGGGTATAATAAATGCAATTACAAACAGGCTATTTTATCAGTTGCTTTACTTAATAACATTTTTACAGTCAGGTTACAGTTTGTTTTGCTGTAACTAAATGAATAAAAAATAATTTATTAAGCAAACCTTCCACACAGATGATATTGAAAAGGATCTTCAAGGCCTCTTCCGCTGCCTTTTTCTTTGCTTCTTTCTTTGTCAATGCATATCCTTCATAAGTTCTGCCATCAACCTCCGCAACCACACACACAAAGTCATTATTGGTAGGGCAGTCCTTGTAACTGACTTGGGTCTTCATTTCATTTAAAGCTGTCACTGGGTGCTTGGCAACAATCTTTGCTGAACCTGTAACATTTCTAGCCATTTGTAATATGCCAAATCTTTTCATGTGCACATGATGTTTTATGCATATAGTTTCTGTATACAGTAAAACTCATAAGGAACGTTGATATAAAAATTCTTGGTTACAATGAAGTAGTTATATCTTTTCTCCATCTTTCTTATTATTATATTTTCTTTTATGGTATAAAGAATTTTGGTCATAGGAAATATTAAAAACATTAATGCAATTTTTTTGGTGTCTTTATAACTGATTATCCAAATGAAATCATTTCCAACATTGTGAAAGTGATACCAGCTGAAGCCGAGGTCTCATGTTTTGGTGGTAGCAACGGGGGTGGGGGAACCCGTGGAGGATAAGCAGGCTGCATTTCATAGCTGGGCTGCTGCCCTATGAAATGCAACCCTCTTATTTGTTGGGGTGGCTGTTGATACATATTTGGATTTCCTATTGGAGATGGGCCTCTGAAAGGATGTTGTATTGGTGATGGCATTCCAAGTAGAGATGGCTGTCTAATCGGTTGATTTACATTGAGACCTGTGGGCTGCCTTGGAAAACAGCTAGAATTTATTCCAGACCTGAAGTTCTCTTGCCCTGGACCTGTAATACAAAATAGGACTGACATAAGAAATCTAAATTACTAGAAACAGATATTGTCAGATACTACATGTTTATCTCATACGCTGACTGTTAAAGCTAAGCTTTATTCCATGTGTAATACTTTATCCAAACATTCTCGTGGGAACTGGAACTTTTAGTTATGACCCACTTCCTTGCATCAACACTTGAAAATAATATAGTTTTCAAGCATTTTTTTGTTGAAGTTCTTTTGTTATTAAAAAAAAATTTAAGAAAAATGTTTGTTAAAAAAATAAAAGTACTTTAATTTTTTGTTGATTTTGAGGTTTGAAGAAACCCACAAATTTATGACCACCTCGAAACGTAATTTTTCACATACATTACTACACAACAATTCTTCATCCATGAAATCAAATCCCCATGAACCCATATTTTTTCTCAAACCATGAAAATTTTCACGAAAATATATGATTTAACAGTATCTGTTTATCATGATAATTTTTTTTAAAAATTTGATCTTACTACTTTTAACACACAGTATATCTGCTGAAAGACTTTCATCATCTAACTGCACTTTCCTTAATAAGTTCTTTTCTTCTCCTAATTGATGAAATGTATTCTTTGCTATAATGACTTACGCTGTCCTCCACTGGAATGTCCTTGACTGCCACCCCTAGGAAAATTCCTGCCACCTTGTGATCCACCTTTGGTGTTTCCTGAGGGATTTCCTCTTCCTGAATGCCCACCACGATGCTCTCCGTGAGATCCACCTCTGGACTTTCCTTGATTACCACCCCTTGAAGATCCACCTCTTCCTTTATTGTCACTCATATTCTCTATGATTTAAAAAAAAAAAATCAATTTTTAATATACCAAAAAAATCTTAGCTCATTATAGCTGTAGAGTTAATCTTGAACTTGAATGAAACAGGAAAGATAACTTGATTTATATGATCAATACAGATGCAATGATGCATTCATGTCGTATTCAGTGGCTGAACGAGAAACGTCACATATTTTTGACCTCATTCACAGGGTCACAGCAGGATACAACAATTCACAGAAAATGAAAATATGTCTCGTATTTTGATTGTTCATCAGAAACCCCTAGTTTTCTTTAATTCTCGCTCTCGTATAAAAAGCCAGAAATCTCATTTGATGCCTCATCAGTCAGGGTTGAGATTGAAATCCATCATACTGAAAAATGACTGATAATTGTCATTTCTACAAACTACATAATGTACTGGTAGATAATTTTTTTAATTATTTTTGTTAATTAAATATGACTTGTTTTCATCATATTTCCATTCCAAAGTTACATTTAATTCTTCCAACCCATATTATAAGATATAGTACACTATCCTGCCATGGACCCTTGTGTAGAGAAATATCTTGACAAACGATTAAAACCAAAATAAATTAGTGCACCCTGTAAAACTAATGAGATAATTAAGTGCACCCAGATCTACCAATTGGATAAAAAAATGATGAAATATGGTCATATTTATTTTTAGAGGTAACTTCAATCTAATTAAAATCAGATCCTTTGATCTGCTCCACAGGCCTTTAGATCATTTTAAACCAACTTACAAAAAAAAAAATGGGTTGTTGAAAAAAATAAAACTATGGAACTCCTTACATAGGGTACCCACTTATTCACATATAAACAATCTACGTTACTACCAAAGTTCATTCCAAAATTCTGTATTCTTCCCGAGATATTTAAGAAATATTTACATCCACTGAATATCATTTCCTTTATTTCTTATGAAAACCATTGCCATTTATCAGTCAGTAAACGACACAAAGCAAGCCACCTGCATAGATTTCTGGAACAACGGCTGTTCCATCAATTATGCAAACAATGACATACACAACTATAATACAATATTTAACATATTTAATTTTACTTTGAATGTTTTTTGAAACAGATATAAATATACACAATAAAATGTCTTTCTTTGTTTGTTAGTACTGGAATTAATGTCGCAGCTATTGCAGAAAAAAATTACATAACCCGCTTACGCAGGTTATGTATTTTTTCTGCAACAGCTGCGACATTAATTCCCGTACTAACAACCAAAGAAAGCATTTTATTGTTTAAATGAATTTAATTTTTGAAGAATCATGAGGACATGAACTACAACGCTTCACGACGGCATATTTCATGAAGCGCGTTAGCGCTTCATGATAAATATGCCAGCGTGAAGCGTTGTAGTTCATATACCTCATGAATTTTCAAAAATTAAATTCATTTCTTATATTTACATTATTTTTCTGATGAGTTGCCACAAATTACGCTATTCAACTGTCATTTTTTTAAGCAAAACAGTTTGAACTATAGTTTTGACGTCGAGTGCAGTATTATGACGTAACAATGGAGATATTCATGCTCATCCATGTAGTTCATGAGAAAATGAACAGTCTTCTAATTTGCAAAGAATCTTAAGGAAAAATATTTGGAAATGTACAGTAAATATGCTGAAATCAATTCCAAAATTGACCTTATTTTTTTTACTCAACATTAGCTTGGGCCTCTGAATAGTTACACTAATTGTAAAGCAGGAACAACGGGACAAATTTTTCCCAGAATTTATCTTTTCTCTCTGAATATTTGTTTATTAGCTCTTAGTCTCTACAAAATTTTATCTGATTCGATCATATGGTCTTACTAAGTTACCACCACCATTTTAGCGGTCTAATTTTTAAAAAATCAAAAGGTATATTATTTTTATACATTCCTGACCAGGAACATTTCATTCAATCATAGCTCTTTTTACATTAATAAACAACATGGCTGTGCAGTTGTTGAAGCAGACGTTTTCTAATTTTTTTTTGGCGTTTCTATTTTTTTTTTTTTTTTTTTTGCGAAAGGAATTTTTACTGACTTAACCTTATGATCTGGAGTAAAAAATCAATTTTAAAATGTTAAAAGATTGTGCAAATACTGTAAATGTATTATATTTAGCGTGTACGAAATTTGGCAGAAATTGATTTTTGAACAAATTAGCGTAGATTTGATTTAGCACATTTCTTAATGTTCTTATTTGTATATATGTGCAAGACATTTAGCGTTGCACTTGAATTAGCAGATGTTTCTTTCCACTAAAGGCACTAAAAAGAATACACAGCCAAATGTAATAAGTTTACAGTACTATGCAGCTGTTCGCTGCAGTTCAAACACCATCTGTATACATGTAAATAACCAGGGGCCCAAGCTTATGTCAAGTAAAAAAAAAGTAGGTCAATCAATTTTGGAATTGATTTCAGCATATCTCGGGAAGTAAAAGGAATTTCGGAATGAACTTTCGTAGTAATGTAGATTGATTATATATAAATAGATATGAATAGAAAGTAAAATTTTTGAGCATTCGATTTAAAAGTATTTTATTAGCGAAAGTGGGTACCCTGAGTTCTATACCTTGACATTTTTTTATACACCCCAAAACTTTTTTAAGTCGGATTTAAGCCAATCTGATTAAAATCAGATCCTTTGATCTGCTCACATAGATCGATCGCCACACATTAGGACATTAGGATCTCCTTGTGTGTTGATCTATGCGAGCAGATCAAAGGATCTGATTTTAATCAGATTGGAGGTACATGTAACTCTATATTTTCAAATAAACTCCAAATAGTTTAATATGATGTTTTTCATCATTATTCTAAAATATGATGAATTTCAGTCATTACTAAAAATCAAGTTTATGACTATAAACCATCATTTTTAAAAATGAGGATTTTCAGTCTCATCCCTAACTGATAACCTTCGAACACAGGGTTTGAAATTAACATTTGCCCACTTGCAATGTTCCATGTGGGCGACTTCAGATTACATTCAAGTTGCCCACATGGCGATTAGAAAATATTTGTTTTTTAATTTTATCCGAATGTTTTGTATTTTTCTCTTGAAAAATTTTGTAATCACTAAAGTGCTTTATAATAACCAGTAAGAAGTACTTATACATAAAGCGTCTGAGTGATTGTGTCGGACACAATGTGGCATCGACGGGTCAATGAGCCCAAGAAACCAAAATGTACCGTTGTTATTTGTGAATGAAAACGTGTCATGTGCCATGTGCTTATATAATATGTTGACGGTGCGACCGTTGGGGCGAGCGCAGTGTTCACTTCATTATTATGATCCGCCTCTTCAAACCGCACGAGACATTTTGAACGTCTAGACTGTGACGTCACATGACGTTGTTAGCTGCATTTCCATAAACAAAGTTTAAAAAGTGCAAATATTTTAACAAAGAACGTTTAATCTACTATCTGCATGAAATATCCATTAAATTAAGGTGAGTTTATTTTGTGTGAATTTTTAGTTGTTGTCACCGCGTGAACGAAGTTAGCAGCGAGAACAAGAAGCGATGCATTGTGGGTCAGAATTACTGCGGAAACAAATTCTATTGAATGAATGTGCAGTAGTCCGAATTTTCTCTTCGCCCAGGCGTTGTCGTTAGAGCTCGCAGTGACGAGCGGCGCTTCGCGCCACTCGCTGCGCTCGCTATTATTGAATAACCATATCAGTCTTCATAAACAGAAGAGTTCCACTTCAAATTTATATAAGTCGTGCATAATGTTACAATGGATAGAAAAGAAACACAAAGCATATGATAAAAAAAAAATAACGAAAAAATGGGGTTGTTGTTTTTTTATTCAATAGAAGGTGTGATAATTTGTGGGCAAATAAATTTTGATGTGGGCCCCAGAATTGCAAGGTTCAGTAGCCCACATGGCTATCAAGGATTACAATTTAGCTTAAAACCCTTTGAACATTTTCCAAGAGACTCAATGTTCAAGTGGCTGAGGGAACTGAACTTTCATTGTTCACACCAGTATTATATCCTACCCCTCCTCCCCCCAAATAAATACACAGCACGGAACTGGAAATGTTGGAAATTATGAAAATAGTTGACATTCAATTGTATTTTTCGCAAAAAGGGGGGAGGGGGGAAAAACCTTATGGAAACCTGTTCTTTCTATTTTTATGTACAAGAAATATGGTTTTTTTAGAACTGCAAATGAATTCTGCGATTTTCCATTTCAGGGATCGACATTAACGGTTGTCCGATTGACCGGGGCAAGTAAATTCTCAGTACGGGCAAGTGAAACTGCTGATGTACTTGTCCGATCGGGCAAGTGAATATTTGATAGATTTTTTAAATCTTACATTAGTTTATGAACAAAACAATAATTTGAACATTTGATTTCTACCAGGAATATATGACATTCTTTTTGTAGTCGGAAATTCCTCGGTAGCGCCGTTTATTCAAAAATCGGGTTCGTTATTCCATTTTTCTTTCTGGGTAGTTGACAAAACTGACTTCTTAACATGCATTCTTATTATGAAATATGATAAAAATAGCTCATTTATTTACTCACTGAACATAAAGAAAACCAGTTATTCTCGGCACACGATGTATTCTGATTAGGATATTTATGTTTCAAAACATGGCCACTGTTTTTCTTTGGCGTGGCTTCAGTTTTTCAGGGGGAAAAAATCTAAATTCACAAAAAGATCATTAAGAAAATAATTTTCAAAAATATGAATTTTATTTAAAAGGAGATATTGCTGCATGGCAGTGTGAGTTTACAAGTATTTAAAATGTAGCATCACCTGCACATCAAGATATTTTTCTGGCACTTAACTTGCCAAATATAAAAAAAAATATCTCACTTTATTTACAATAATAAATTAAGTTATCGGTTTCCCTTCTTTCTAAATTTTGGGCAACCAAGTTTTGTATTCGGACAAGTCAAAGTTTGAGTTCACTTGCCCAAAGGGCAAGTGAATCTGTAAGTTGATGTCTATCCCTGCATTTTTATT